AGTAACATCGAGCAATATTGATTTAGAGACTGCAGCTCGGGAAGGTGTTTGGACGTATTATATGATTAAGGAAAATGAAAACTTTTGCTCAGCTGATTACTCATTAAAAATACTGCGAAATTGCTTTGTATTGACCAATTTTTAGTCAGCTCGTATTAAAGGTGAGGCAATTGTTTAAAATGTCTTTGGTCCGTAGATCGAAAATCAATTGGTTGATGTAATGAACAACGCAATATACCTCAGTATAATTACCGATACATCTAATCATGATAACGTAAAGATGATCTCGGTTGTGATAAGATATTTCGTTACATTAGAAGACACGAAGACAAAAATATTGAATTTTACAGCTGAAGATGGGGAAACAAATGATATTATTGTGCAGCTCTTGAGGAATACTCTTAAAGAATACAACATCTTAAGAAAGTTAGTTTTGTTCTGCGGCGATAACACTAATACTAATTTTGGTGTTAAAAGCCGAGGTGGGCAAAACAATGTTTACTACAAACTAAAATCACAGGTGAATTCAAATTTGATGGAAATCGGATGTGCCGCTAACATCATTCACAACACTTTGCAATGTGACTGCAATATTTTACCATTTGACGTCGAATTAATAATGGTGAAAATTTATTCACATTTTTATCGTTTTATTGTTCGTGTCACACATTTGAAAGAGTTTTGTAAAACCGCAAACGTTCAATACCAAAAAATTCTTGGTTATGGAAAAATTCGCTTTTTGGAAATGTTCACATGCATGCAATCAATCTTAAGAGTTTATGATGGATTAAAGACTTATTTTCTGGAAACTTCAAACAGCCCAAAATTACTGAAGGATTTTTTCAAGGACCCATGTTCGAAAGTTTGGTTGTTGTATTCTTGATCAGGCAAAATCAGCTTTACTTCTAGGCAATACAAGTCCCATGCTTTGCAAGTCTGTTTTGCATGGCATATCTCTTGCCTAGCCTGTTTACATCAGAGCTATTTCTGTGATATTTTTGATACCACTTTCATTGTTGCCAACAAAATAAATATACCAAAACGTTAGATATTTCACCTGGGAATTTCAGTCCAGCATTAAATATATTAAAATATAAATATTAAGGTTACATGTCATTAACATGGAGATCCAACATCAGTTGATTTATTAATTTTTCCTTTTTTGAGAATGATTTCCGGATTGGAAGTCGAAACTAACGTCAAAAACTAACAAAAATTTGATTATTATAACCAATTATGGCTTAATTCCATTAACAATATCGTCAACATAAAATTGTTAAATAATCAATAAAATGATGGTATTACAGCCCTTGTTTAAAAAATGGCCCGATTTTCACTGAAAAGTCCCGGATTTCAGGTACTTTTTTAGCCTTGTCCCGAATTCGATTGAATTGGAGTTATTTACACTAACCATACCTGGTTTTTATTGCGATAGAGAAAGACGCTTTCCCTATATTATGTGTGCATTTTAAGATCAATATTGAGGTTTTTGTCGTCGACACCAATTTTCTGTTCAAAATATGGGTCGTGATCACCTATTTAGTCGCTGTTTATAAAAAATAGCTCTTTAGTGATTTCTTTCAAGTGTGCTCCAAGGTTGTTGGAGCACAAATATTTAGGTAATCTTTAGGTACTTACTTGCTTGGCGTTTTTTGTACACCAAAATCTGCATATGTACAAAATAAACTGCTTCATTTTCTTAATTATTAGAATCGTTACTTGAAATTAAGTTATTTTTTGAAAATATTAGAAATGGTTTTAAAGTTCTTATTAGAAGGTATTTTATTTGATATTTTAAAAAACTCAAAAATAAATAACCTTGTTATATAAAGTATTAAGGAAATACTTTAACAACATTGAACAATATAATTTTTACTTGTATTTCAACTAAACATTGCACGAAGATTGGTAAACTTATAACATATTTGTATATTTAATAAAAACGTGAAAGGTGTTTATGGCAGAGTGTTTATTTTTTTCTTGTTATCATGTAAACAACAGCTTAAAAATGTGATGCTGATACGTTCTATGAGATGATTTTATTATATATTTTGATTCCTATCACTCATCTGTTATTTTAATTCATTGGGTTGTTGCCAAGGTTTTAATATTTGTTGAGATATTGACCTTGTCTTGAGAGGAGCAAAAGCTTTTACATGCCTAAAGTATTAGTCTAATTAAATATATCGATTTGAAGAATATTTTGAGTTCTTTATGTATTAGAATTAAATGTACACAGTATTCGCCAAAATTATTGTACGGACATTTTTGTGTTGATAAATTTGATGGTCTTAAATTTACTAACTGTTTGGTTTACTAATTCTGGTTACTAATAAACAAAATTAACTTATTCTACCGGGCTCTACATCAAATGCAGCAATGTGTTTTAATACCGCCTGTAGAAATAGAATGCTTCTAAGAAGAGGTATACCATATTATGAAATAAAATATCTAACATGATACATCCACAACATACATAACCCCTTAGGCGCTCCGATAACCCGAGATGATAAACATTGTGATATACAGGTAAATATAGTAAAGTACTGTTCTGTTAGTGTATCTTTGGTTGCCTATATAGACAGCATGTAGGTGGAGATTCAGTGTTAGGAATAAGTTAGGTTAAGGTTATCCGGGCATGACCGAGAAGTAGGTATAAAAACTAATATAGAAGCTGGAATAAAGATAACTTAATATCAAGTAATAGTTATTATTCAAGAACCCAACTAAACATGGTGGCAGCGGTATTGAGTGCAGTACGTATAGTTTAAGTATAACTTTATACTAACCATAAACACGTGCTAAGATTAGCAAAGCAAGGTTAAGGCAAAAAAAATACTGCATTATCGTTGAAATCATATCCAACATAAAGTAAAACTGAAAATGTTTAGTAATACTGCTCCTGATACAAATACTCAAGTTATAGTAATTCCAGCACCATTGAATACCCTTCTGATAAATTCAATTTTTTGGCCCCAGCATTATTGCCAACATGGAGGAAACGGTTAGAACGACATATGTCAGTATCAGGACAGCTCCAAAAGACAGAAGAACAAAATATTTGAAATATTTCCTAATACATATCTTCCTCATCTTCTTGCCAATTCTCATGTAACTCTAGTTCCCCTCGCTGATCTTTACTTAACAGATCATTGAAATATTTCGCTGTTTAATTTTTCTGTCATTTATGTAAGAAGTTACCCTTCTTGAGTTGTGCAACACTTTGCATTATAATGTTTAGGTCCTCTGGATTGGTTAACGTCTGGTAAACATGTTTTACCTCTTTGTTTATGTAAGCTTCTTCTATGTTTTCAATTGATTTTCAAGCTATTATTTTTTATTCTTTCTGTTAATTTTTTAACTTGTTTCTCTGTTTTGTTTATGTTTTTGCCCTTTTTCTTATTGCCAAGCATTTATACATTCTTCATCAAACCAGTCTTGACGTTTCTTTATACCCGTCCTATATACTTTTATGCTTCTTCCGACATGGCTGTCTATATGGTGTGTCATTCTTCTTTTATTTTCTGCTTAACTTGATTCTCTAGGATTTTATTTACTTTTATGTCTAGTCTGCTTACTATCTCTTTTTCCCAAAGGCGCTCTAACTGGTAGTTTAATCTGGCTCTAACAATTTTTGGAATTATAGAGAAATCTTGTTTTAATGCTGCTATCGCTGGTATTTGGTCACTGTTATTATCTCCCCCTCTGTAACTAATTTAATAGACTATTTCCTTATAATGTTAGCTTTTTATTAAAACATAATCTATCTAATTTCTTATTACTTTTCCATCGGGGAAGTCCGTATTACCTTATAAATTTATTTATTATTAAAACTTGAGCTAGATATTTACATTATGTTTCATTTTTGTTATAGCAAATTCGATTAATTTTTTTTTTTATTTTCAATGCATTCTTCAAGCAAACTTTGCAATTCTGTTATTTTTTGAAGCACAGCTTTCTATTGCGGACTACCAACTATATGCATTAATCGGTGCTATGTACCGGGCCTAGGTGTGAAAAAATTCAAAACAAAAGAAACAGAATAAAACGCAATGTAACCACATATTGAAGCATGTTTAAAATTTCTTTAAATTATTCCCCTTAGAAAATTACTATCATGCCTCCTATGTCTACATATTTATTTTTAAAGCCTTAAAAATAACCCGACAGCAACGAGCGATTTGTTACCCTTTTTTTAACAATGAAATAATTTCGCCAAATGTTCATCAAATAGAAATCTTTCCTAGTAACAAAGAAATCAGTGCCTATTGTGAAATCTCCGTTCAGAAAAACGGAAGAGTTGTTTTTCGGAGAAAGTATAATTCCTGTCAGGGGAGGATGATTATGTTACAAAAGTGACCCCAGTAGCCCTGATATTTAATATCAATTTCGCGTGGCACCCTTCAGCCAATACATATTTCCATATTTTCCATATTTAGCTTGCCTAAGTTCAGAATTAGAATTTATTTTTGAGTTGGTTCCAGTGGCAAGTAGTTTGTCTCCATCACACGGCAGTAAGTGTATTTTCAATTCACCTTTCCCCAAAGAACGAGGTCACTTCTGATTGCCGAATATTCATTAGCCAATATGCATTAGCTAATATTCATTAGATAATATTCATTAGCTAATATTCAATATTCAGTATTCATTATTCATCGGTCATCGTTAATCGTTCATCGTACATCTCTACCACCCAATACTACCTATGCTGTTTCTCTTCTCGTCTGCCGAAATCAATTTGAGGGATTAGGGATTGATAAAACAGTAATTGCGTTGCTGTACCTACCCGTTGCGAAGACCAAGAGTCAAGTACTTTATTGAAGGCCTAACGCCACTATCTGTATATCTTAATTCAGGAGGGGGGGGGGGGAAATTTTGTACAATTAGATATTAGCTCTCAATTTCAATACACAAAACGCAGAATGGGATGTTTTATATATTAAAAAGAGAAAATAACAATAACTCGAATGAAATGAAATTATAAACAAAAAACTAATTCTCTACATGACGAACTCTATGTTTCGGCTCACTCCACTTTTAGCGAAACGTTCTATTATATTGTCTTCGTTAAAAACAATGTCCTTGTGGAAATGCATTAGTGCAAGGCCAGTTAACCGTTCTTCACTCATATTGGCCCTCAGCCAACTCTTAAGTCTTCTCAGTCCTGAAAAACTCCTCTCTTCAGATGCAATACTTACTGGAAGAGTACACAATATTTTTAAAATTTTATTAATGATTGGATACATCATTTCATCACATTGTATGAGAGCATTTAGATCATCGCTCGGAATTTCCGATTCTTTGCTGTGTTTCCATCTCATTTTCAATAAATGTAGCTCTGCAAGAAAAGTTGACTTCAGCACGTCTCTAACTGTCTCAAACAAACTTCCATATTTTGCAATCAAAATTTCTACGGCGGAATGGATGTCATCTCCATTTAAATGAATTAATATAGCAAGAACACATATTTGCAGATTAAATACATCCATGGTTTCTTGCTGGAAACGACACTCAATGTCGGAAATGATACTTTCAAGTAAAGGAATATATATCGTTATTCGAAAGTATTCTGTGGAGGAATGAATATCTGGATTAGGTCGATTTTTCATGAATTTATTCACTCTTGGAAGACATAAATCTATATTCAAATTTTCTAGACAAAACATTATTTCTTTAAGCAAAGCATTGAAATTTGTTTCTGCATTGTTGCGTTTGTATTACAAAACAAGCAGTGTATTTAGATCAGCATTCTGTGTAGAGCTTATAGCCAAATTTTTTGTTTGCAATAATTTGCTCAGAGTTAACGTTATTGCGAGTACTTAATTTAGACAAAACAAAGTGATAATAAAGCTGCAATTTGATGAGATCGCAAGTATATGCGTCCTAGCTTTACTGAAAGATTCTCTTTCGTTCCATTCGGAAATCAAATTCAAAGCTTGCAAAATTTTTTCAATCGATGCTTTAAACTGCAGAACGGAGTCGTGCCGTTCTACCCATCGCGTTTCACACAATCTAGAGAGCTCATCACCCAATGTTTGTTTAAGGACATAATTGCGTTTAGAAGAGGCTTTGAAAAAAGATATTATTTCCTTCATTACCCCTACAGCATTTCTCACACAATAAACGTTTGATGATTTCGACAAACAACATTCAATCAACTCATTTTGCGTTCTTTTGCTAATCTATGTGGCACGTGACGACGTGTTTACGTCGGTGGGTTTATACAGTCGGTCACCTTCTGGGCACTAGAGTTATCTGAGATGTGTCACATTTTCAGAAATAACTCAAATCGGTTGCGGCTTATAAAATTAGGAGCAACAGTATTTTTGGACATCCACTTCGTGGAATAATAATCCTGAATGGAATTAATTCGCACTATTCCCATGTAGCCCAGTAAACTTAGTTATTGTGCAATTTCCTTTCGTCGCGTCATCGGACACCTCGATGAATATGATTTCCGCTCGTTTTGAACGTCTCCGGTGGGCCATAGCGGACACCGGTGTCCATACGTAGTTCGAGCCAGGCCAAACCGGACACCGGCGACCGCTTTATCTTTTTTAAAAACTGTTCAAATGGTTCAAATGATGGAGATTCGAATTGGTTGCGGATTAAATATTAAAATTTTATTTAATATTGCTTTGGTCCAGGGGAACATGTTGGTGAAAAATCCTTGGCGCTTAACCTGTTATGTGTAAAATTTAAAATTATAAAGGTGAATATTTTGAGTGTTTGCATGTATGTTATAAATAGACAAGTATTTGTAAAAGTTATTGTCGAAGTTTGGTGATTTAGGAATGGTATTTCCTCCCTTAATTTAGGAAAATGTTTTTTGTTGCAGCTCTTGATAAACTAATTAGCGTCTGTAGTTTGCAGGATGCTTCTCTTGACAATTTGTGTACCTAAAATCATTGTTTTGTGTTTGGTTTGAATATTTCTGTTTAATTGGCTGTGCATTTTACACACGAGGGAATACTGTTTGTAAGTTATTCGAAACATATATGTCATGCTGGAATTTCTCTTTGGGGATATGGTGGTTCAAGTTTAATTATTGGGTTGGGAAGTCTATTACCTTTGTATGTGTCTTTAATATAGTTTAATATAGTTGCATTTTTTCCTCTTTCTGTTTTATGTTATAAATATTTTGAACTGAGCATTTTTGTTCTACAAGTGCTTTTTTATTGTCATTAAATTTTGTTCATGGATAAATATTATGGATAACCACCCGAAAATCACGGTCCTGTTTTAACCACGTTGTTTTGTTGTTAAAGCTTTAATAATATCCGAATAGTTTTTAAGCGAATATACTTAAATTTTATTTTAGTTATCCTTATGGAATTTAATAATATATTAGTATGGTATTTTTTTATCAAGTAATTCACCTAGAGGCTGTTTATATGCTACATTCTTAATGAATCTAGATGGAATTCTTGTAGATATAGAAATTTGGTTTTTTTTGTTCTATTTCATCAGTTGCTTAAGTTGCATATTTCTACATTAGCGCTTCCACAGTTTTAAAGCCTGTTTTAGATAAATTTTAAATATTGTCGGTGAGAGACAGCAGCCTTACTTAAGGCCTTTATTCATTTGGAATCCACTTGACAGATTATTTCCAACTTTTACCTTTGAGTTCAGTGAGCATTAACATACAGTTCCTTTGTCACATTTATTAAATTGATGCTTAGGGTTGTTTTCAATAACGCTTCACATAATTTATAATGTGGTACGCTATCATAAGCCTTTCGTTGGTCTATATAAGTCTACTTACAATAAATGTACTTTTTGATTAACAGCTATTTTCTTTTCAATAATGTGTGTAATGCAAAATAAATGGTCAACAGTAGATCTACCTGCCTTAAATCCTACCTATTCCTCAGCCTCTAAGTCTTTATATTCCCTTTCTATTCTGTTTTTAGTTACTTTTCTGTATATTCTACTGACCGAGTTTGTCACGGCAATGCCTCTGTAGTTATGACATGCATCCCTTTCTGCTTTTTTTGTTTCAGTTTTGTATATAGTTTTTTTTATTTGTAGTCTTTAGGTTTTGGTATATAGTTTTTAAATATTTGCTTTTAAATAATCGAACCAGCTACCGTATCCTTTCCTCCACACTGTTCTGAATTTAAGTGATGGTGCAGGAATCCGAGCTAAAGTTTATTTTCTTACAAATAGTATATTTATGGTAGTAAATACTTACCCAATCGCTCTGCAACTTTAACTAATACACTCATTTTTCTGTGATTATTTGTTAACAACAATGTGTAAATGAACACTTTCTTCATTGCTACATTATGTTCAATTGTTTGATAGGGTCTATTTGTAAACGAAGTCTTGGCTAACTATAAGGGGATAATAAAAACTAACATTAAGTCTGTTAATATTTTAACCATTTCTAAGTATATACAGTTGCACAACTGCAACAATTGTCGCCGAGGTATAAAATAAGGCCTTTAAGCGACTTGTGGTGGATATTCTTAGTCCACTTCTGGTGACAAAGAGAAGCAACAATGGATTATTTTTCAAAATTACCAGAAAGTTTACCTCTTTCTAATCTAGAAGCGACTGCAGTAGCAGAAGCATTAATAAAACAAATTATATCATACCATACAAGACATGGAGTTACTTCAGAGTTATATTCTGATCAAGGACGAAATTTTGAATTAGAAGACAAGAAAACTTAGAGCTAGTTCAAAGAAATTGAAAAAAAAAATTAACAGATTATAAAAAAGAAATAGAAGATCTAAGGAAAGTTAATAAGCCAGGTATGAGAGAAATAGATCAACTAAAAAGATAAGAAAAAAGAAAATACAAGCAAAATAAAAGGCAAAATAATAAAAGAAATATACAAGCAAAAATTAGAAACTACGAAAAAGTCAAAAGCAAAACAGAAACATATTAATATCAGATTTTAGATAATTAGATATTTATGGACAATGAGATATGGAAATAGAATCTGAAAAAATGTAGGCGAAAAAAAATAATAAAGCATAGTCAAAAAAACTAGCAATTAAAAAATAATTGACAAATAAATGGTAACGATATGCCATGGGAAATAAAACTAAGAAACTGAGAACTGAAAAATTGATGCTAGAAGACAAAAAATAGGTAAAAAATAATTGTATACACCTCTCTCTTTCTCTTTTCAGGCCTGACCTCTCCGAGGGAGTAGAGTGGTCATCGTGATATCGTGTGTTGTTGGTCTGTGAAGATCTCTGTCTCTAGTCCTTTCATTTAACTCATGCATAGATCTTCTGCATATTCCTGTAAATTGATGGATCCCTACTCTTGGGGATCTTCCTCCTGATCTTTGGGCGTCTACCTTTTTTGGATAATAAGTCTTTCCATGTTTTGTTTTCCATGTGTCTGCTCTCATAATATGTGCAAAGTATTCTAAATCTTGTAGATGTATTTTGCTGGATAGCCGTTTGTTTACCTTTAGCTCGTTTAAAATTGAATTATTTGTCATGTGGTCACTTCACGGAATTTGTGACGTTATTTTCCAACAGTAAGTTTCAGTGACCTCTATCTTTCTTCTTTCTGCTTGTTGTAGAGTCCAAGATTTACATCCGTATGTCAATATTGGAATATTAAGCAGTTGATTAAGTTCATTTTTAGAGGTTATGAAATTTAAGAGTTCTGCTATATTTATGGTAATCTTTCTTACAACGACTTTGCAAAATCAGATCTACGTTTTATTTTTTCCTGTAGCAACCCTGTGTTTGTGACCAGTGATCTCAGAAATAAGTATTAGCTCACAACCTCAAACCGGTCAGTCGTGGTTATGTATAGATGATTGTTGTGGATGATGTGTGGTCTGTCCACCATCATGATCTGTGCTTTTAATATTTGTAACTGAAGACCAAACACTTGACTTTTGTTTTCAACAAGCTATGAGATCAATTAACTTTATGTGTGGCTGTGTCATTTGCAAAACGTACGTTGTTTTTTAGTCAGCCTTTTATTGAGATGCTCTTTTAACATCCGTCAAGCGTTCTTCTTATAATATGCACCTTATAAATATTAAATATTAAAAACATACGTTTAAGAGTATATCAAGCACTTTAACCATGCCAGTAGTGTATTCTTACAGTTTAGACATAACCGAAATTAAGTGTTGCCTACTTCTTGTAGTATCTGCCATAAGGTTGCCATTTGACCCTGTCAAACTCTACGGGATAATCTATAAGACAAATGTTTAGTGGAATATTAAGTTCTCTAGTTTTTTCCATTATTTGTCTTCTGTTCAGAAGGTGTTCGCGAGTACCTCTATTACGATTGCCCTTTGTAGAAAAGTTTTTAGTCTTTCATTGATTATGTGTAGCAATTTTACTGGCATGTGAGATAAGAGAGAGGGTTTTATAGTTCTTGAATTTGTCGTTATTTTAGATTTTGTTCAGACCGCAATTTCTTGGAATGCTATATTTTATTACAGATTAAGTTAATCAATTTTATTCTCGTTGTTTCTGTGTCTTTGAGCATTTCTGCTGTTATCTATCTGGACCTGGTGCTGTGTTCAACTTAAATTTACTGATCGACAGTCTTATTTTATTTTCGAGTATATTATTTTATTATACAGTTTCCACCAGAAAAAAATAATAATAGTCACTTGTTAATAGACTTATTATGTTTATACATCAAAGATAATATTTTTGTTAAATCACTTACGTTAAATTCCACAATATGCATTAAGGCACATAAGAATCTCCAAATGCAATGGTAATCAACTAGACCGATTATAATCTTATTAAATAGCCTAACGAAAATTTGCATTAATTTATTTATCGTATGGCAATTACAACACATTTAGAACAAAATTACAAACACTAGTAATATAGGTATATGACAAACTTTTAAATAATTACAAACAAACATCAAGTGTATTAACATAATCCATTGACTCTGAAGTTGCAAACAGAAAGTCTTCAGGGCTACCGTTATAAAATCTTGAGGGACACTCTTCAATAATGTGGTCGATCGTTTGGTCTTCCCACAATCACATTGAGGAGACGGATTCTTTCCCCATTTATGTAGCATGTATGCACATCTGCCATGTCTGGTTCGGATCCTGTTTAGAGTGGACCATGTTTTACGTGGAAGATCAAAACCTGGTGGCTTGTGGGTAATACAGGGCATGTTATTTTGCCATGCATTCCATTCTTGGGACCATGCATTCGTGATGTTGAACTCCTCATGTATCATTCTTGCTGTTTTCATTGGTGGTTTTCTAGAACGTAGACGGGTATTTCGTGCATCCTCGGTATCTTGGTGGATCGGCAGGTTTATATTGTTCATGATCTTTTTGTATTCACGTGTAAGTGCGTCAACTCGTCGTAAATGTGAAGGTGGAATGTGACTTAATACTGGAAGCCATTGGGTGGGAGTTGATTTAATTGTACCAGATATCATCCTCATAGTGCTGTGCAGCTGAGTGTCGACCTTTTTTACGTGTGGACTGTGTAGCCAAACTGGGGCACAATATTCAGCGGTCGAGAAAAACAAGGGCTAAAGCAGTATGAGCGGAGAGTGGAAGCCGAATGCTCCCCAGGTGGTACCGCAGAGCTTCTGTATAATGTTATTTCTTGTACTCAACTTTTGGGCAAGTTTTTGTTAAATTGCTCTTTAAATGATAGCGTTCTGTCTAGTGTTACGCCCAGGTACTTCGGTGTTTTGTTGTGGGGAAAGTGTGGTATTTTCAAACCGTATTGCATTAATAATACAAGATTACAGACTAAGACATTGTATTGGGCACTTCTAGGTATGAAAATAGTACAGATGTTCCAACTTGCACTCGAAGAGAGTTTTTGAAATACGTCAATTTTGTGTGGCAAAGAGACATAACCTAGGATAAATCGTATATAAAAAGTTAAACTAATTAGTTTGCATTTCAAGCCTCACAACCTATTCATACATTTAGTTGATATTCTAGAAAGTTTCACTACTATATTGTTGTCTATTTAGTATACAGATTGAACGAAATAAAATTCGGTACATAGGAAATAATGTATTTCGGATCATTTCTGCTGTAGGTGGTTTTGCCAACAAAAGATTGTCAAATAATTATAATTATAAAAAAATCCAATACTTCAGCAGGCTGCTGGATTCTGAACTCATAAAAATTGAAATCTACACATAAATCTACGATTTTTATTATGCTGTCAAACCAGTTTATGGTTCCAGGAAATGAAGTATTTCACCTCGCAATTTTTTGCGTAGATTGACTTGAAATTTAACAGAAGGTAGGTAATAGCCTAAGGATCAAAATCTATTACGAACCAAAGTGCGCCAAAGCCTAGGGGGTGGTTGCACACCCCATCTCCGGGGTGAATTTTTTTTTTACGTTTTAAACTACAGGTTTCGATTAAAAAGTGATTCAAAACAAAAGTGAGACTATACATTTTTTTTATAAAATGATATTTTTCAAGTTATTCGCGATTGAAAGTAACAACTTTTAAACGAAAAAATCCTCGTTTTTAATAGATTTTTCGCGAATAAACTCGAAATGGTGGCATTTTATCAAAAAATTGTAAAAAACAAATTTTGTAGCTTTTCAAAAGACAAATACAATTTATTTTTTAAAATGTTTTGCGATATAATAGGAACCGAAATACGGCCTATCATTTTTAGCGTGTTTTCTTCAATGCCAAATTGAAAGATTCAAAGTCAAATATCGGGAAAATGGTGCATTTTTGGAAGAAAACCACAAAACCAAAGAGCATAAAATAGACCGATCATAAAAAGAACTCTAGCTCAAAAATTGAGTATATTTATGATGAAAATAAGGTCAAATACCTTAGTTTTTTTACGAAAAAATCGATGAAAACAACCCCTAACACTCCCATAATCAAAATCGTCTTTACCCTTCTGCAATTCCCTTTGTACATGTATTGTTAATACGTACAAGAAGTTTGACCCATTTAAAATGCTTAGTTTTAGAAAAAGTACAGCTTAAAGCGAGAAACGATTTACAATTTTATTTTTTATACCCTTACTTTTATTAAATATGCCGAAAATTTCTGAATATATGAAAAAAAAAAAATTACCAATTGTAGCTTTTTTTTAATGACTAAAATTATCCTTTTATTTAGATTTGTGTTGTACAATGAATATTTGGCGAGATATAGCGTTTAAGCAGGCGATTTAGATCAAGGCACCATTCTTTTCGAAGCCTTTTAAACTCACCGCATATTAAAAACCAAGGGTTCCAAAAAACTTAATTACTTATAATTGGTTT